ACTATCGCAGGCTCCACTAGAGCAAAGACTCTCATGTCTAGTGGCAGGGAGAGAGGGGAGGCCAACAGCATCCTCTGCGATGGAAAGACCAGTCCAAGATGTTTTGCTGCCTGAATGAGGAAACCCAAAGATGGTACCCACCTCCATGTGTTCACGGTCCACTGAGAATTTCTCTCTCCCGGAGGTCCTTCCTATGACTCAACAGAGCAGGAAGATCCTGCAATCTTTGTAAACTGGGAGTCTTTGGATTTGTTTGAGGCTTCCTCCAGTATGACTCTGAACACTGGTGCTGAGAATTATGGGCAGAGAGAGTCCTCTTGTGTTCTGGTCCTCCTTGTGTGCTTCCTATAGGCATTTGGTTGGCTACTGTGAGAACAGGATGCTGGACTAGATGGGCCACTGGCCTGATCCAGGAAGGATTTACAGTGGTACCTCGGGTTAAGAACTTAATTCATTCTGGAGGTCTGTTCTTAACCTGAAACTGTTCTTAACCTGAAGCACCACTTTAGCCAATGGGGCCTCCTGCTGCCACCGCGCCACTGCTGTGTGATTTCTGTTCTCATCCTAAAGCAAAGTTCTTAACCCAAGGTACTATTTCTGGGTTAGCGGAGTCTGTAACCTGAAGCGTCCGTAACCTGAAGCGTCTGTAACCCGAGGTACCACTATACCTATGTTCTTATACCCCATATGGTGAACCACAGAACAGCAGGCTGATGGGGGTTTTTATCTAGGCCAAGAAACCTTTCTGCTACAAAAGCCACATTTTCTATCCTGTGTCACTGGTACTATCCAAATTAGGACTCATCCACTTTCCCCTTGCCAGTGAATGGTTTGAGATCACATCATACATTTAAAGCACTATGATGCCATTTTAAGCAGCCATGGTCCGTCCCCTCAAGAATTCTGGGAGCTGTAGTTTTTGTTAAGGGCGCCAAGAGTTGTTAACAAAGCTCTACTCCCCTCCCAGAGCTACAATTCTCCGAGCGGCTTAACAGCCAGCCCCTTTTCACAAGGAATTCAGGGAACTCGGGGCCTGATGTGCATATCTGAAAACTGAAGAAACTGTTGTAGGCACTACAGAGACCACAACCTCTTCCATTGCTCACAACAGAATGCATCAAAGCATAATTTCAGCAGAAATTTCATTGGTGACCTGTGCTTTAACTGATAAGCGTCCCTCAGCCATTTTCTGGCTACCCTCTGCTCCACAAATATCTTCAAAACCTGGAGAATCGAATGGCCTTTGTAGTAGAAGGAATCTCTTGGAATCGGAAACGAAAGCAGAGTACAGCTCATCGCTGTGGCTTGAAACCGTCTCACCGGGGCGGAAAGCATCGCTCCATTTGCTTCAAAACAAACCATTAAGAACAAAGTGAGGGTGCAGTGAAATGAATCATCCCAGAGGGGATCACTTTGTCTGAAAAAGCCTCGAGATTCCCCGTGCTCTGCCGGCCTCCCACGCGAAGTGAGCTCAAGCTGAGCCCTCGGACCACGGCTTTCCTTTCTCAAATTTCAGAGGGATGAAAGCTGATCTCGGTCAGGAGGAACCAGCCCAAAGCCAGGTGCTTGGACAATGTCAGGGTCAACTGGGACATCCCAATACATCGAACTTGCACGTTACAACCATGGAGAAGAAAAAGCAGTGTAGCTTCTTGTTTTTTACAAATCCATTGCTGCTTCCCTCCTCTGTCTAGTGGTGAGGTAAGGAAACAGAGAGAGGTTTTCCTGTCAAGAAGATAGACACCCCTGTGGACACCATGCATGGGTGTGCAAACACTGTGGTAAATTTACAGCTCCAGGTGTTTTGTGTGTTTGTTTTTGTGTTTGCGGACTCTCCTTCCTTGGAGGCTTCTAAGCAGAGGTTGGAGGGCAATCAGGGGGTTGGACCAATGACCCTCAGGGTCCCTTCCAACTCTATAATTCTATGATTCTCCCTCACACACAGAGAGAGGGGGGGAGGGGGGAGATTGAATAGACTGTTTCAGAGCTTTTCTACTCCAAAGGTCTGATAAGCTGATTGGTACTGTTTGACAGAGACTTGTAGTTCCAGAATTATGCAGTTTTCTCATGCAAAGCACCACTCACTGCTCTCTAATAGCAAACCCAAGTGGTAAGTGGGGCTGCTAAGGGCCATAGCCTGAGGGACAGTCCTGGGGGCCAGATAGAGAAGCCTTGAGGGCCACATTTGGCTTGTGGTCCAGAGATTGGTTAAAAAAAGGTAAAAGACCCATGGATGGTGAAGTCCAGTTAAAGGTGACTGTGGGGTTGCCATATGGGACTATGGGGTTGATCTGTTGAAAGCCGCCCAGAGCGGCTGGGGAAAGCAGCCAGATGGGTGGGGTAGAAATAATAAAATTATAATAATAATAATAATAATAATAATAATAATAATAATAATAATAATATCTCGCTTTCAGGCCAAGGGAGCCAGCGTTTGCTTTCTGGGTCATGTGGCCATTTAACTTCCCACCGCAGCAGTACCTATTTTTCTACTTGCACTGGTATGCTTTTGAACTGCTAGGTTGGCAGGAGTTGGGACAGAGCAACGGGAGCTCACCCAGTCATGGGGATTCGAACCGCTGACCTTCTAATCGGCAAGCCCAAGAGGCTCAATGGTTTAGGCCACAGCACACACACACACACACTGTGCCCCACTGTCGTATTCAAAGCAAAACTTTACAGTCTTCAACAACAACAGAGCAAGAAATGATCATTTGGAGACTTCCTTGAAGCTTTACCCTTGGCACACCTCGCAGACTTTCCATCCAAGAATATGTTTCTCTCCACAAGACCTCTAACTGGTGTTTACTCAAGACAAGCAGGCCAGGACTTGGAGCAATCAGACACACCTATTTCCCCACTAATTCTTAATTTGATGTAAGCAGGAGAGAACACAATTAAATCACCGACACTAAACCATGGTTTGCCTCTGTGTTCATCTCTTTTGCTGTTAATTTCAATTAATTTCAATTTATTTTTATGGATATTGTGAATATTTTTTTCTTGTGAACTGCTAAGAGGCTTTTCTACAATCAAATGATATATAACTTTTGTTTTAAAAAAGGAAGAAGGAAACACAATTTGGATTCTAAGCTATGGTTAGCACAAACCATGTTGTCTCCTTCTTATCGGCAGTCCTTGGTCCTAGTGCAAGCCATAAGCAGAATATTTGCTCTGCCTCTAACAAATGACTATCATATCTATATTTTCTAACAACAGCCTGCAAAGAATAAGGGTCTCAATGGCTATATTCTCCCTCCACTGTCAGAGGCAGCGTACTTCTGAACACCAGTTTCTGTGGGGAGAGGGACTTCTCAGGTTAGAGAGAAGACAAGAGATGATATGAAGGTGAGAGATGACCGGTAGAAATTTATAGAATTATGCATGGCATGGAGGAAGTGGTTAGATGTAAGTTTTTCTCCCAATCCGATGAAGTTTCAGAACGGATAACTGTGCATAATTAAAGTAAAAAAGTAAAAGGTAAAAGGTAAAGGACCCCTGGACGGTTAAGTCCAGTCAAAGGAGACTGTGGGGTATGGCGCTCATCTTGCTTTCAGGCCGAGGGAGTCGAAGTTTGTCCACAGACAGCTTTCCAGACCATGTGGTCAGCATGACTAAACCACTTCTGGCACAACAGAACACCGTGATGGAAGCCAGAGCACATGGAAACGCTATTTGCCTTCCCGCCATGACAGTGCCTATATATCTACTTGCACTGGTGTGCTTTTGAACTGCTAGGTTGGCAGGAGCTGGGACAGAGCAACAGGAGCTCACCCCGTCGCGGGGATTTGAACCGCCAACCTTCCGATCAGCAAGCCCAAGAGGCTCAGTGGTTTAGACCCAGCACCACCCATTTCCCATTTAAAAGTATGGAACTTGCTCCCACAGGAGGCAGAGATGGCCAGCAACCTAGATGGCTTTACAAGAGGATTGGACAATTCCATGGAGGAGAGGGCTATCCCACACTACCAGCTATGCCTCCATGGGCAGAGCCAGTAATACTTCTGAATACCAGTTTCTGGAAACCACAGGAGGGGAGAGGGCTCTCGTGCTCAGATCCCACTTGCAGGCTTCCCACAGGCACCTGGGTGGCAACTGTGAGGACAGGAGGCTATTGGTCTGATCCAACAGGGTATTCACATGGTCTTATGAGAGCGCTGTTGTGCTCAGATCCTGCTCATGTGCTTCCCGCTGGGGTGATTGTAAGGACAGGAAGGTGGAGCATGGCCTCCCATTGGCCTGATCCAGCACATTCTGCTTATGATCTTACAGGAGATTGAGCTGTGAAACTGCAGTCACATGTCCAGTTACAGTGGTACCTCAGTTTAAGAACAGCCCTGTTTATGAACTATTCGGTTTAGGAAAGCCACTTCCGCCCTGCAGAGGAGGTGGGGTTGTGGGCTTCACGGCACCAGCCCCCGTGCGATTGGGGGAATCCCTGGGCGCATCACCCCCTGGCCAGCCAATCGGCTAGCTCTGGGGGCGTGGCCTGCCCTATTTAACGCAGGCGCAGCCGGGGATCTCCCTCTTTTGCTGCCTACCAGCTGTTCCTGTTTTTTGCTCCGCAAAACTGGAAGTAGTGTCCTGGTTTGCAAACTTTACCTTGGTCTAAGAAGCCAAATGGTGGAAGAGCACCGGCGGTGAGAAGCCTCAATAGGGAAAGCATGCCTTGGTTTAAGAATGGTTTCGGTTTAATAACAGACTTCTGGAATGGATTAAGTTCGTAAACTGAGGTACCACTGTATTTGGAAGCAAGGCCATTAAACATGGTGGGACTTACTCATGAGTAAAAACCCCTAGGCTGGCTGCACCATTCTTAACAACTAAGAAAGCCTGGTGAATCAAAGGCAGTCAATGTGATTACGTAGCATTGTTCTGCAGAGATGATTCAACACAAGAGAGCCAGATCCCTTTGGCTGACATTGTCTTCCCAGCGTGTGCTGGGCTGGACACTGGAAGTAATCAGAGGGGCTGAGATGCCGCTGAAATCCACGTCTTACCAAGACAGGTCCTGCTGTCTGTGTGCAGACGAAAGCCTGGCTTGCATTCGCAGTAATAGGACCCCAGAGTGTTCACACATCTGTGCTGGCAGCCCCCATTGTGAACTTGGCACTCGTCAACATCTGGAAAGGAAGCAAAAATGGAAACAGTCAGAGCAGCGGGCACGGTGCAAGCTAAACTCAGCATTTGTGCCAGCCAGAAGCAAGACTCCAGAGGAGCAGCCAGCCAGGCCAATGGACCAGGCTTAGGAAGATGTTGTCGCTATTCTGGGGTGGGATTCAATCACGTATCGACAATTCAGGTTGCACAGTTAAAGTTTACTTGGTGGTCTTGCACAATGAGCCCAGTTCCTGCAAAACTGCAGTCAGGAAAGTGATGGGGAAATGCATTGGAGTCTTGTGACACTTGCTTGACACAACACTGTCTAACCTCCCCATAAACAAATTGGAACAAATGCTTAATAAACAAGGTGTCTGGAAGCACCCCATGTTGCCATGTGCTCCATCATGAAGCTACAGATGCGCCTAATGAATATAGGAAGGTGCTTTAGGCCAAGTCAGACCATTGGTCCATATGGCTCCATACTGGCTACACTGACCGGCAGTGGCTCTACAGGGTCTCTCTCAGTCCTACTTGGATATGCTGGAGATCGGACTCGAGACTTTCTGGGTGCAAAGCAGATGTTCTACTGATGTCCTTTCCCTTAAAACATAGGAAGGTGTCTTATACAGAGTCAGACCATTAGTTCATGTGGCTCAGTACTGTCTACACTGACTGGCAGCAGCTCTGCAGGGTTTCTCTCAGCCCTGCCTGGAGATGTTGGGGCCTTCTGCATACAAAGCAGATGCTCTACCACTGAGCTGCAAATGTCTGGGGGAAATCACTCTCTTGTTGCACCAAGTAACCCGGGAGGAACTCACCAGACAATGAGGAGTATCTTGTACACTTAAGAAGAACCTGGAAGGATTGGATCATTCTGCATTCTTCTACTGACCTAATTTCTACCTCATCAGCTTATGTGTGGATTGTAACCAAGGTCCCCAGCCCTGAAGCAGCTTTTCAGCTAGCTTCCACAGGAAGGACAAAAGCCCTGTACAGGCGCTCACTGTCACACATTCAGACAATGCATGAAGGGAGGCGCAGGGCCTATGCTTGATAGTCTCGCCTCAGTGTCCCCTCCCTGCTAGCACCAACCCCAGCCTTCAGACCTTTCCTAAGGACCAGGTGGTTCTTGGAAAGTTGTCCCAAAGGAAATGGAGCTCTTCAGCTCAGAAAAAAGTTCTTAAGGTATAAAACAGAAGAAGGAGGGGAGAGAGTTAGAAGACTGCTGGACTGGCTAAGTGAGAGATGGATAGGCTGGAAATTATTCTCTGGCTCGGATTTTAATCTAAGCCAGGAAAGAATTCAGGGCCCCTAAATGCTCACATTTCTTTTATAACCCCTCAAAACTCCTATCCAAACCCTGGACAAGCAAGTTTTGCTAGCGACTCTACCCAGGGTTAACTATTCAGTTTCTTCTAACCAGCAGTCTAAACACTGTAATGCAATATGCATGCAAAATTGCAGATCCAAAAGTTCCCTCCACATGTGCACACGCACGCACGCACACACAAATTTTGGGGTTGATTTTGTTTCAGCTCTGTGGTGTGGAAAGGGGAGACCATGAGTCTCGAGCACATTCAAGCCCATGATGCTTATCTTCTGTTCTGGTTTTGGAGCATGGCTTTCCCCCTTTTTTCCTTTTGCCGTGGGGCAGGGAGAAGAGGCTTCCTCACAAAGGTCCTCCTTCCATTTGGCCTTCTGCCCAGAAAGAAACGCACCAAGGCAAACACGGAAGATGCAGACAAAAGGCCTTTCCTGCCAGCAGAGAAATGGTGATGGACAATGTCTTTATATTTGTTTTATTGCCCCTGTAGGGGTCAGTGGAGCCACCATTGAGAGAAGCTATCTCACCTCCCCCAAACGGTTCTTGCGGTTAATGAGAAGGGGCGCTTCTAGGACGCGGTCCAAATCCGGTTGCCCTCAATTGACAAGGACCCGGCCTTGCGGTCCAAAACGCTCTCAACTGGGCACAGGGAAACTTCAAAAGCACGGCCAAGAAAGGTTGGCACTCGCTCTTTTCCCAGCGTCCTGCTGGGAAATGATCAGATCCTCCTGCGTCAACTTCTGCACTGAAAAGGTTCGGAATCATCTGTCATGTTTCAAGGGAAACCGGGGGAATGCATTGAGACATTTCACAAGCTTTCGTTTGGTTGAGTGTTCAAAGGCAGAAAGAGAAGGAACGCAAAGATAAATTGTGTTGCAAACAGATTGCTGGCGGGAGGGCAGGAACCAAGAGTCAGAATCAAGGTGTGCTTGTCCTCAGTTCAACTTTGCGTTCTTCGTTTCAACAGGGCTATGGAGGCCATTTGTTATCAAAATGTTCCCCACTTTTCTTTATTAAAAACAAAACAAATTCAACGCAGCTTATGGGCAATGCTGAAGACAAAGCAATCCTAGCATGGTCTTACAAAATGGCATAGTACATCTCTTCATCCTTGTGTATCTATGTATCAGGTGTGAGGAACTTCCAATGTGATCTTGCATAGCTCACTGTCCAAACCTCAGAACTCTCCCCAGGCCAAACCTCCTCTCCTCAGGCCATGCTTTGCATCCTCCTTGGGTGTTTTTGCCTGGCTGGAATGTGTCCTTGAACCCAAATAGTGTGCCTTGCTTGTCTGGATGGAGGCGAGCGAGGAGGATGCAAGGGTGTTTACATGAACTAGCCTAATGTAGAGACATCACCTTGCCAACAAAGGTCCGTATAGTTAAAGCTATGGTTTTCCCAGTAGTGGTGTATGGAAGTGAGAGCTGGACCATAAAGAAGACTGATCGCCGAAGAATTGATGCTTTTGAATTATGGTGCTGGAGGAGACTCTTGAGAGTCCCATGGACTGCAAGAAGATCAAACGCATCCATTCTTAAGGAAATCAGCCCTGAGTGCTCACTGGAAGGACAGATCCTGAAGCTGAGGCTCCAAAACTTTGGCCACCTCATGAGAAGAGAAGACTCCCTGGAAAAGACCCTGATATTGGGAAAGATGGAGGGCACAAGGAGAAGGGGACGACAGAGGACGAGATGGTTGGACAGTGTTCTCGAAGCTACCAGCAGACAGAAGTGCCTGGTGTGCTCTGGTCCATGGGGTCACGAAGAGTCGGACCCGACTAAATGACTAAACAACAACAGACTAATGTAGAAAGACAAAATTTGCACTCAATGCTTTGCCCACTTTCCCCCAATGCTAGTATATGGCCCCGAGATGGTTATATGTGAGAGTAGGCAGCCCTCAGGCTGAAAAAAGGTTTCCCCACCAAAGGTTTCCCCACCCCTAGCTTGGAATACCTCGACATCTCCAGGTAACAATGGGAGAGGCCTCCATCCAAAACCCTGGAGAGCTGCTGCCACTCAGTGTTGACGATACTGATCTAGCTGAACCAGCCAGTAGGCTCAATACACGGTAGCTTCCAGTGCTTCTTCTCTTGGCTACTTTCAAGAGCAGACTACCCTCCCTCTCTATATTCTTGTCAGATCAGAGGACACAGGGAAGAGGGAGAGAATAGACCTCCTACCTCTCTCCACCAGTTTATTCTCCTGTAAAGGGCAGCCTTCAGGTCTCTCCTTGGCCTCTTCCCTCCCTTCAGGTTGCTCAGGCTGCTAAACCATCAAAAGGCAGTAAAAGGCTTGCAGCCTCTTATCAGCCCCAACCCTACCCACCTGCAGCCCATACTGGCTTAATGCTGTTGGGGTCAATTGCCAGCAAGCAGGTGGTCTAGCAGCTACAAATAGAGGAAGCTGTCTTTACAGAACCAGACCATTAAGTCCATGTGGCTCAAGAGTGTATTTGTCAACACTGGGTCCTCATCCTCCCCAGCCCGCATAGCCAGGGGTCAGGGGATGATGGGACTAGTTGTCCAAATGGCATCAGGGGACCCAAGTTTGAAGAACACTAGTCTACAATGAGTGGCCGTGTTTCTCCAAGGTCTCATGAAGGGATTTCACTGAGCTGAAAGTGGAGTTGTCGGGGATCGAACCAGGAACTTCCTGCATGCAAAGCTGATGCTTTACCACTAACTGCAGCCCTTCCCACTATGTCTCATTGACCAGTTGACCAGAGGGAACGTCACCCCTCTTTCAGATCCCAAAGGAGAGGCTCCCAGCAGAGTAAAGATGCTTTTGGGACCCCCGGGGTGAGTGCAGAGCAGGCTGCTGGTCTCACCCTCCCACCTCTTAATTTTCATAACCGAATCTTCATTAGCATAATTGGCCAGTCTTGCATACATTGGGATTTTTTCTCGGCAGCGTATTCTGACAACGGTGAGTGCGAGAGCGACGTTTAAAATGTGCAGCGCATGGATAGCACACAGGGATAATTAGTGAGGGCAGATGAGGCAGAAGTAAAACGCTTACAATAGAATAGAATGCCATTGCCCTTGTGGCTGAAAGGCGTTTGGCGTGAACGAGTTTCTAAGATTAGCCCATCGAAAGGGCTCGGATGATTACTGGGCCAACAAGAGGGTTAGTATTAGTATTGATCCGCCCCTCCAACAAAACAGATAACGGCTACCGGTTTGGATTAAGGTAGGAATGGGCACCCGCTTACGTACTGAAGGGGAGCGCAACCCATCAGCCATGACCCTGCTAGGAAGGCAGGCAAAGGAGCACCACACTCAAAGTCCCTCCACACGAGAGAGGTTTGTAATCAGCACATGGCTGGTGAGGGGCATCGGTGATGGGTGTGGCAGCAGGATGTGGCTGATGGGTACCACTGCCCCTCAATATATGCAGGACCTCTATGCCAAGCAGGGTTGCATGGTCAGTGGGTGTGGCTGGGCTAGCTCACACTGCTTCCGTGCTCTTTTAATGCCTGGACTCCCCTCCTGTCGCATGATAAGCACATGCTCCAGTTCGTGTATACGTCTGATCCCCTGTGGCTAACAACTCTTTGATGCGAATGTCTTAGATCCAGGGTTGGGGGAACGATGCACATGTGGTCCTCCGGACGTTTCCATCTGGCCCTCTGGACTCTCCCAGGGCCACCCCCACCCCCTGCTGACTTTGCTCTGCACCCAAGTGTTTTTGCCTG